AAAAGAGTATTGCTCTTATTTAATCGAAGGAATTTAGTATAAACTGTTCAAATCAAATCGGGTGGTCCAAATGCTGGAATCTTTTTTAAGAAATAGAAAACGAATAAACTCAAGGTTAGAAAATGATAGTTATTTTCATTTTTTTAGGACGGAAATTATGTTATATTCTTAACCAACAATATTAACTTAAGCCTGAGGCCATTTCTATACTGAATACCTTTTGCTGAAACCCAATAATAATTGATCCTAATCTAATCTATAAGAACGATTTGAAGAAAAAAGAAAGAAGTTAACAAAATGTATTACAAAAACAAACTAAAGTTGGGATTAACCTTAAAACCATTGCAAACAATTTCGAGACAACTTTTTTTTGACGAACCGAGGGATCGGTTGCCCTTCTACATTTTTCGGTGACACCTATATTCGGCAATAAAAATCCTTATTGAAATAGTTCTACTGGAATAATCGAAATACTTCCTTAGGAAAAGTTTAATTTTATTAAGGTTTAATTTAATTACATTAGGGTGGTATATTAGGGTGATAAGAACTGAGATCTGGTAGGTAAGTACTAGAGCCGGGTGCTTGAGGTAACTGAATTTTGGAAAAAAAATTTCTTCTAGAGACAAGAACTTCGATAGATATATCATAGTTAAGCATCCGACCGTAAATGCCCGAAGATATGACGAAAAATGTCAAAAAGCTATCCTCACATTCCACCAAACAAAAAATAAAAATATAAAATTCTTCCATTATACGCGACTGTAAATTCCGAGGGTATGACAAAAAATGTAAAGTGCAACCGACCTCTACGTTCAGCAAAAAAAATCGGTATTTTTTCTCTGTTTCGGTCTAATGTACATACTGACATGATAAATGTATATGTGTTGTATTGTACATTTAACTTATAAAGGCGAAATAAATTTGCGAACTTGAAAATCAAAAAAAGCGTAACAAAAAAGATCACCACTTTAATACATATGTAGTTATGTACATATATATGTATGTGTGTATGTTATTACCAAAAACGAATTTGAGTCATATGTGTAGATTTTTAACAAGCGTATACATAGAGTTATACATATTTACAAAGCTATACAGGTACATAGTTATATACAAAGTTTATCTAATAATCTTTTCTTTGCTTTCCTACTTAGCTAAGAAACAAGTTTACAACACAACAAACGATGAGAAAGAGAACAAGTGAAACTTGTAAAAAAAAAAAATTGCAAAATTTGTAGGAACAACTAGAAATTAAGTGCATATCAATTTAAAATGTAAACGTAATGGGGGAGAAAACAGCAAACCAGCAAAATGCTAAAACAACGCAAATTCGACAAAACCATTTATTGATTCGTCGCCTGATAAGATAAAACATTGTTATCATGAAAAAAGGAAAGCAATAATGTAGTGCAGTAACACTACCCCACATATCGACGGCACCACGGCAAAACCTCGTATCTCAGAAATCACAAATAATTTGTAAAGCGTAAAATTTATTTAAAATTTTCCTTAAAATACTACGATTCATTATATATTATTCTTAATTAACTAAAAAGTACTTAATCTTAAATATTCAAATGAAAAGTTTATTAAAAATAATTTTTGGTTTTAAATAGAGAGTTCTTTTACTATGTACATAGTATTGTTTGAGAGTTTTTTGTGATACGAGGTTTTGCCAAAGTATTTGTTTTATTGTAGTATTGGCGACCGATCCTATACTTGGAAAGAGAAAGTGCTGACGTAGTTTAATAATCTAGCTGGCGTTAACGGTAAAAACTGTTTTCGCTAACAGACTATAAATTTGTCATTATCTTCAAAAAATAGAGCGTGTCTCCAAGTATCTAACATATTGAGGTGTGGGAGCGAATTATGACGCAAATACGTTGAAAGCTAGAAGAAATGGGTGCATACAACAGCACTTCTAAAATTCTGTATCGAAAAAAAAAGTTTTCTGAAACGTCATTGGCATAATTATTTATTGTTTTTTTCTACCACGCTGCAATATCCACGTTACATACATACATACATATGTATGCATAAAGTAGTCTTCTAGTAGGAACATGAATATGTTTTTAGCATCCTGATTTCTGTTCTTTGTGGCACAACCCCCCATGTTTAATATGTATGTGTTTCATTTGCTGGCAGTGGCGAGTAAGAAAGCCTGTAACATTTCTTACTTCGCGCCTACTAAGGCGAAGAAAGAGTTCCTTTCTCCTTATTGATATTTCTGGAATGTAGAACTTAGCCTGACTGTTTGTTACCTTCCGTACTCAGAGCTCCATGGCGGAAAGATAAAGGGTCCTGGGCTTATGAGTCTCTATGCAGCGCCTTTTCTGAGTCTTGGAACCATAAGTTTATCAAATGTGACTTTACTTCCTCTGCATCAAAAGTCCAAAGGCTTTCAATGCAACTGGTTCAGCAAAAGCTATTTGAGGAATTTTTATGTTGTTGAAACAATAACAACGCAGGCTATTCCTTGTAGTTTGCTGAGCTTGGCCTATGTGGACTTGACTTTAGTTAGGTTCCACCAGAGGGGGCAGAATATGTTAGAATCTGTTTGGAGATGGCATCACATGCCCAGCTTACCAGTTTAGGTCTGTTGCCCCATTTCCTACTCATTAGTTTCCGGCAGATCCAGATGAAAGCCCTGGCCTTTTAAATGGTTTTATCCAGGTGCGCATTGCATTAGAGCTTTTTATTAAGGATAGCTCCCAGATATTTGACTTCTTTTGAGAATTTTGAAATTTTCTCCTTAAAGGAATGATTTTAGCAATTTTAGCCTTTTTGAGGTTCATGTATAATCCGCTTTTAGTGAAACATTTGACGACAATGTTCAACGCATTCAGTAGGAGGTTAGATATGCTGTGTCCAAACCTATCTATGATTAGGATGACATAGATGGCAGCGTTGCACTGCACATCGAAGCCATCTGCACTAAGGGCCAGTTTTTGAGTGCTGTGGTTTAAACATAGTTTAAACGCTTCAGCTGACTGGTTTAAACTAAGATTAGCCAATCAAATGTCAGCCAGCTGTTCAATTTAAACGCAGTTTACTAAGTTTAAACTGGCCCTTATAAGGCAGATTAGTTCGCCTACTACGATATAACAAAACAGAGGGGAGATCACTCCACCCTGCGGCCAACCTTTCGCAGCTAGAACTCTTTCATGAATTGCGATCGAAAATTGACGTTATCGGTCGTAGAGTAGTAATTAATTAATGAAAATTAAGAAGCAATTCTAATGACTTTAATTAAGAAATAATTTATTTTTTTGAGCATTTTTACTAAGTCAATTTTCTATACAGAATGTATCATATTCCCCATGCGAATGCACAGGATTCCTTGCTTGGTAACTATTTAAGGCAATAAAAATTAAAAGGCAAACAAATTTATCAACTTATTGAAGCATAAAAATTTGTCTAATATTTATGTAAGCCTAAATTGACCATCATGGTCGCTTTTATTTCAGTTTGTTAAAATTGTATAATTCTCTAATTGCAATGGTTGCGCAGTTGTTGTATGTATTTACATATTTATAGAAGTTACAAGCAAATATTTACATATCGTCGCCTAGGTAAAAGATTGTCGTAATCGGTAATCGCAATTTTGACGATTTTTAGTTCTAAATGCAGTTATATATTTTGAAATAAGGTCTTTCAATTGGTTTTATCAGTTTTCAGGTATCTCCTTTAGTTTCCGAGATATTGACTACAAATTTTTCTATAATTTAGTAAAAATTTAGTTAGTAAAGCAGCCATATTAAACTAATCAATATCTTAAAGATGACGTTCTCCATTTCTGGATATCTCCTTTAGTTTACGAGATATTTATTGATCACATTTTGTCGTATTTCATACAAAATGGCTGCCAAATTGTGGACAAATCACGCTTATGACAAAATTTTACTAAAGAAAATCCCTCATAAACTCAAAGCTAATTAACATTAAACATTAAAAAATAAATAATTTAAGAATTTTGTGAACTAGTAACATTTTCAGAGACTTTGGAGAAAATTCCATTCCAAACTTCAATCGCGATTTCCCACAACCTGCCGAAATTAACATACGACAATCTTTTACGCAGGCGAAGATATGTACAAATATAAAAATTGCATTAAAAAAAATGCTGTAAAAATAAATAAAAAAAAATCCAACTAAACTTTCATTTCATAGAACTCTTATGCTACTTAAAAACGGAATATTTTCCCGTTATAAGTTAACGTTTATATGTATGAATTTGGGAATATAATTCTGACTGCACACGGGGTAACCGTAGCAGTAACCAACATAAGTAAAATAATAAATGTTTTGATATTCAAGCGACGATTTCTATGAGAAACTGGGCTGCACACGAAGAAGCCTCCGTGTGTAGTCAGCATAACAAAAACTCTGGCCGGCACACCGCGGCGTCTTTTACAGTGACTTCCAGTCAAATTACTTTTGTACCATAGTGCGATAAGCACGTGCAATCAACCAACCACTGAACAAAAATAAAATATGTATATGTACATATCTGAGAACAAGAACAACAAAAATGCAAAAAATAAGTAAAAAAAAAACTCAAAGCAAATCAAAAAAGCGAAAGCCTTAACAATTAAACCGCAGTTTCAGTTACGCGATTATGCACATAAAATTGTACAAAAGTATGTATGTATGTATGTACATATATGTATGTATTTTTGTATTTAGGCTCATATTAGCAATTAAAGCACCGATTTCAAAACCCCCATTGAGTGGGATTGAAACTACATATACATATGTATAGTGCATACATACATATGTATGTACTTGCCTCTGTACAAATTGTCAACGATGCTTGAATGCGGACTTGAATGTGGCACTGAGCTCCTATTGTTGATGATGGCGCGTAAATGATATTTCAAAAATCGTGTATGGTGTATTGGTAAAAAAAAAACACATTTTATGCGGATAGGCATACGCTGCCTGTTACGTGCGACATAGTATGTACGTACATACATACAGGCAATATATGTATAACTTACCCATAAATTCAGCGCAAAACGACCATATGATGGCTTCGTCACGGCGCGTTGTGGTTGGGCTCCTATAATTTCCTCGATACCCCAGCCAATCTTGTCGATTCTTGAGCTGTAGTTTAGGCTTTCTATGCAGCTGGTGTTGTTGTCGCTAGAGATAATGGTATTGGATGTAGTTACATACATGCATATGTATTTATGTATGTATTCGTTTGGTATAAAAACAATAAATAAAACAAAATCCACACTATGCCACAACAGCCTAGGAAATAGAAATGAAAATGTCAGGGGGTCTCCACCAAGTTGGTGTGGTGGTAGCTAGTAGTTGCTGATGATATTATTGGTGTTGGTTTTTTGTTGTTGTTGCGGTGGTGGTGGTGGCGGTTATTATTGTTGTTTATACACTACATATATGTAATGAACATTTGCGTTTGCATTGATTGTGATGCCGTTTGGCTTCAATTGTTTAGTTCATCGAGAGACGATTGTATGTGAGTGCTCGGGTCGGCTGATTCGATCGGCGCGATGCGGTTTATTTTTGTTGTTTTAACTTTTGTGCCGTTAAATACATATTATATGTATGTATGTATGTATTTAAATGCATGTGTAACTATTAGCATGCATGTGTACATTATGGTGGTCCTTAAAATCAAATGAATAATTTTTGTTCAGTCTAACTCCCTCAATCGGTAATACCACGTTCAAAGATATCACATATAAATTTTGGTCCCGATTGGAGTCGGTTAAGGCGTGTGGCACAGGGTAACTTTATCTTTGACCCCAGTGCGACACGCCTTAACATAGAGGAATTTGAACTTTGTCTCCTGTGCGACACGCCTTAACTATCTTCGATCGGAACCATCGACGTAGGGGTTGAGATTTAGGAAATGTGGTGTAAAAATGTGCTTCACACATTTAAGGACCACCCTAGTGTACATATGTATATGTACACATACACTGCCGGCAAAAGTATTGGCACAGATGCTTTTTTACAATATGTATATACAACATTTTTTATTGTAATATTTTTCCGACAATTTGTTATACAAATATAGTTCATTCCACAACAAAATACATAAAAATATAATTTCTAAACTTTGTGCAAAACTCGCGATAATTCAGCAAATTTTCATGCAAATTTTCAACTATTTGATCAAATTTTTTTGGAATTTTTTTGAGTATGCAGATTTGTAGCCCAATCAATTTTATTTTTATAAAAAATGCAGTCGATTTTTTGCAATTTTTTCCCCGCAATCTTTTCCAAAATTTTTCGAAAATACTTTATATGGAAAAAATGTAAAACACCTTCAAAAAGTTGAAAATTTGCATGAAAATTTGCTGAATTTTCGCGTGTTTTGCACAAAGTTTAGAAATGGAATGAACTATACTGTTATAAAACAATTTTTGGAAAAATATTGCAATAAAAATTGTTGCATATATTGTAAAAAAGCTGATGTGCCTATACTTTTTGCCGGCAGAGTAAATATGTACATAAATAAAATATGTACTACACTCGTTTAGAAAAATGAGTTTCTCGTAATTTTTTTTATTTCTAAAAACTATTATTTTCAAAAGGCCATTTCGCTTAAGGTGGTTATAGGAATAAAAATGTCTAACCGCAATATTACTCTCTGAAGTAAGAGTAAAACAAGTGAGTAACAACCAAAAAGTACGGAACAACGAAACTTTTCGCTTATCGCTCGACACTTTTCATGATTTTCATGACCTGAAGAAAAAGTTCGGCTAAAATCTTGTAACTTCATTCTCTACACAACTCTCCAAAAATCGCTCTCATTTACAGGATTTTGGAGTATGGGAACATTTTTCCTGTAACTTCCTGCAAGTTCGTGTAAAAACCTGTAAGTTCATGGAGTACTGGATTAGAGCTCTGACGTGGAGATTAGGACACAGATAGGAGCCTAAACAAGATTCATAAGAGCAGAAAAGGAAACTGCGGCTGATGATCAGCGCTGGCAATTATTACTTGCGTGTACAATATGTATGTACATACATACATACATATCTACATAAATATGTTTGAATAAGAGCCTCCTAGAGCCGACAAAAGACAATAGAATAGGGCACAACGTGCCAAAGCACCACATGCGCCAGAATCAAGGACAAGGACATAATGGAAGGCAGCTGCTGTTGCTGCTAGGGCCTATAGTGTATGGCGATGTCAAAGCAGCTGGTCTTACATGAATAATATAAAAAAATACATACAATAGAACTAATAACAGGACATTGTAGTTATTCCAGTTTTTCATGATTCCATTATGTATGTATGTATGTATGTATATAAATACATATGTATATAGAAATTCACACACCTAAAAGAATATATATTTTTGTCGGCTTAAAGTTATAGGTAATTTAAACTTAACATTATTTCCATTCGGCTTCGATAAATAAAAATTGAAGTCAAATTATCGTTTCACTTTGCTATTATTTGTAATGTCAGAATATGTTTACAGCTGTATTTAACAAAAAACAGGTATGTACTTTAAAACCGAACCTTTACTTTCTAATTCTCTATATTGTACCACCAGCCAGCAAATTTGCAGCAGCTGTATTTCGCGCACACACACACACACTTACTCACATTCACCGCTGGGTGAAAAATCAATTAAATCTTCAGCTTCTGCGGAAGTTATGAACTTCCTTTCAAACTCACTCTAATTTTCTACGCCTCAAGTATTCTTAATATTTGTTTAATACATAATATTTGCTCTTCACTTTATTCTTTCAACTATTTTTGTAATAAAACTTCACTACAATTTTCGTTATTTCACATTTACACACAATACAAATTCGATTTAAAGCGAGCGATTAGTACAAAAAAAAAATACCGAAAAATTAATCGCAACGTATAGTGAACAACAGCACTTCAACCGCACTCGGCGTAGGATCGTACAGAAATGCAATCGCAAATGCTGTTGGCACTGCATGGAAAAAGGTATGGGAATTTTTTTATCTTGCCACACTATAGCAGGGTTGTGTTTGATTTAGTATGAAATTACGAGCACGAGAAAAGGCCGAAAAAATACAACATAGCGAAAAAATTTAAAAACTAAAAGTATATATGTATTTACCTTTATTTACTAAAGAACTCTGCGATCAAATAAAAAAGATTTGATTTCATTGATCCTATTTGGAACAGTATAAGTAATTTTTTCGTGCAGAATGGTTGATGGTTGGTTATAAAACTGCGCACTTAAGACGCAAAGTAACGTTCGGAAATGCATCATTAAAAGAATTTTTCCGAATCGGAACACAAAAAAAAATAAACATTAAGTGCACCCTACAAATTTGCAACCCTGTGTTTGTGTTTCCTTCCCCCTTCTGTTTGGTTGATTGAGGAAATGGCCACCTTTTGCGAATCTGATTTTCACAACCAGATATGTTACACAGTTTTCCTGTGACAACGGCAAGAGAATGGCAGCTTCCGCATTGAAGATTGGCGCCAGTAAAAATTTGACTTGTACAAATTATCTGACTCGATTGGCATTTTAACGTAATATGAAAGAATTACGCGTTCAAACGTTTAAAAATTAAATCAAATATGTTTATGTAAAAAATTTAGTGCCCACATGAAATATAGTGAGCAACTTCCGGTAAGAAGCGGTGAGAATTTTAAATGTTACTATAATGTTGGTATGCAAGTTGGTAAGTAAAAAATAAAGGTATATACTGTTGTGGAATAATACCCAGATATGGTATCCGGTTGGACACATTCCTAAATGCAGATACACAATACGGAAACGCCCGCTATGCAAATCGTCAGCCTCCTTTACTTCTCAACTCTATTCAAGTTTGCGAAAGCAGGAATTGCTTTCAATTATTATTTTTAGATAAGGATACTTTGATATACATACATATGAATGTACTATGTACAAATTCCCAAAGGTATACTCTTATTGGCGTTTCTTATTATCGGTTCAATATTACCAAAAACGAAGGTTCGATGGTTCCCGCGACAATTAGGTCTACGTAACTGGAACGGGTAGAATTTCTTGTCTACATGTAATTCATATGTGAGATGCTTACTCCATTTATTACTATATACAAATATTTTTTCCTAATAAAAATATAAATATTTTTCCCTAAAATCATTTAAAAACGCTAAATCTAAATTAAAAAAAAAAACACACACACACACACACAAATCAAGTGATAGAGGTAAATTTATTGCAAAGATTAATGCGTATTCTGCATACATCTAACAGTAAATCAATAGTTTATGGATTTTATATAGTAGACATGGAAAGTTTACAGAATTGCAAGAGCTTGCTTTAGACCTTAGCTAAACTTTGCTGCGCTTACGAGAGCAACAAGCTAGCAACTTTAATTAAATTAAAATATATTTACTAGCGAAATATGTTATGATGATAATAATGTAGCGTAAGTGTTTTAAGTTAAATAGAGGCGATGATAATCATTTGCACCGAAGGCGCAGTTACATTTAGGACACTTTCGCTGCCTAGTTTCATAACGTGTACGTAAGCAATCGTAACAAAAGACATGGAAACATTTCGAAAGCACCGCATCCTTCCGCTTAACTTTACACGAAGGACACGTGAGCGTCTCTTTATATTCACGTATCTCTTCTAGAACTACTTCATCAATAGTACTACCCGCCATCTCAATCTTTTTCATACGTTCAGCCTTGCGCTTAAACTGCGCGAGCTCCTCCTGTAGACGCTTCGTTTTGTAGGCTTCCGCCTCCAGTGAACTAGTTTTTTCCGCTACCACTTGTTGCGCTTCCTTCATTTGTGAATGATATTTCTCTAAATGCAATTTTAAATCAGCTGCTGACTGTGCCGATTCGATGGCTTTTCGCTTGTGCATTTCCATCGCTTGTTGTCGCAGCATTAATTCTTTTTCTATAGTGGCTACCGTCGCTTGTAGGCTGCGTTCTTTCTCTTCCAGCTTACGCAATACAATATGCATTGCTTCAATTTGAGTATCTCGCGTAGTCATTTGATCGACCAATATTTGCTTTTCTTCTCGCAACAAATTGTGCATTTGATTGGCTTTGATGCGTTCCGACATAAGCTTAAAGTTGGCATCATCCTTCTCTCGCAGCTGCTGTATTAATCGAGAATTTTGCTCCTGCATATCTTCAAATGCCTGCCCGGTCACCTCCATTTCATTCAACAAAGCTTCTTCCTCATGCGAACCAACAAATGGACGGGCATAATTTGTTCCACCAGTTCCACCCCAAGTATTCTCCACTGGCTTTTGACTAGCCACTTGTTTTTGTAATTCGTATTTCTGCTCTTCAAGTTGTTTTATCTTACGTAATGCTTCCTCATCAGCCAACTTTTTACGCTCTTCACGCTTACTTTCCTGTATCTTTTTCAATTGTTGGCGCAATTCCTCAATTTCTGAGCGCAATTTTTTCTCTGTAGCCATCAGCTGGACTTTATCGCGTTGATCCTTTGAAACGCCCTTATACATGTCGAGAAGAAGCTTCATTTCTTTCTGGTCATTCAATGCTTTCCTGCAAACAAAATTAGTATTTTAATGGGATTGGCAGACATTTGTGGTGCCGAAGAAAAAGTTAAACACATACATACACATAAAATTATAGTATATAAATAACAACAATAAACGTACTTCAATTGGGCTTTCAAGTCTCGCACTATTTCAGATTCCATTAATTTGATTTCCTTTGCTTTTGGCACATCCTTAGCATCTTTTTCCACTTTAACATTAGCTGTGCATGGTGTGCTTCCTGCGTTTGCTCCACTTGTAGCATTGCTGTTTGTGCTGTTGGCAGCTTGTGCTTCTTTCTTTTCTCCCGCTGCGGCAGCAACACCTGTCGAACTCTTTTCCTGTTTTATACCCTCCTTTTGCTCCTTCGTTTCCTCTTCACCATCATCACCTGGAATTCTTTGAATATAGTTTAATGTACTCAATCATTAATATCGTTCTGACCCTTAGCATTGGCACCTGGTTCATCTTTTACTGCGGCTGATGATTCATTTGTACCGGCGCCTGCTGCTCCTCCACCGCTTGTAGCGGTTTCTTCTTTCACAGAGTTTCCACTTTCTTGTTTTACTTCTTCTGCCGTGGGAGGTTGTTGTTTAGTACCTTCTAACTTAGCTAATGTGTCCTCTACCTCTTTTCGCAGCTGAAAGTATTGTGGTTGGTTATTAAAATAGAGAATACGAATTTGTTAAAAGCCCACATCGATGTGCAATGTCTTAGCTACATCGTCTAGAAGACTTAAGTTCATAAATTAATTTAAATAAACAAACTAACCTTCACATTGTCAGCCGAAGCATCTTTGTATTTACGTTTATAACGCTGCACCTCGCCTTTCAGCTGTCCATTATGATTCTGCAGTGATGTAATCAAATGCCGCATTTCTCTATTTATTGGCGCTGTTTGCTCATTAGCTGCCATATTCTGCTCGAATTCAATGCGTAAAGTTTCATATTCTTTCCGAATTTGTGCTAGCACATCCTCCATTTGAATCATTTCGCTGCGCACCTTTTTCTGCGCGATTAACTCCTCACTTTCCATTACTTCAATTTGTCGTAAATGTTGATTTTTGCTGGTTTGCAGCTGGTTCCGCGTTTCATCTAACATTGTCTTAATTTGCATTGATTCATTATATAGAACAGAGAATTGCGATTGTAAGCATTTATATTCTGTAGTCTCCACAATCACAGACTCAGGTAGTTGACGAATCTATTGGGCATACATTTTTATTAAGTTATTTATTAGTGCATCTTCTAAAATACTTACATCCATTTTCAATTTCTCTACTTCCTTCAGCGTTTCCCGATGTGTCGCATGAAGTTTATCCAACTCTTGTAGGCGATTGTTTGCAAGCTCACGATATTCTTCGAGCTCTTTTTGTAAATCTTCATAATGTTGACTATTCACATTGGCTGTTCCGGATGTTTTGCCCGATGAAGAGCTTTTGTTAGGATCGCCGTGCATTTGATGGTAAGCCTTTAGTTTCTCAATTGCCTCTGCCAAATGATTTTCCAACTTATCATTGCGACAGTGCACTTTCTCCAAATCATATTGAAGCTCATCTATCTGGTTCTTCAATTCGGCATTTTCCGTTTCTTTAGCTGTCAGCGCATCCTGACACTCCTTCATTTTTAGCGAAATAGTGTGGAACTTTTCATGCAGTGAAGTGTTCAAACTTTGCAAATTCCGGTTCTCTGTCATAATTTCAATATGAGTTTGTTTTAAAGTCTCGTCAATATTGGGCAACAGATTATTTGTAACATTATCAGTGCCATCTTCACCCTCGGCGTTAGCGTTCGAATTGCTGCCACTTGATACGCCAGTACCTTCTTTCAATGCTATAGTGATCTTCTCATTACGCTGCATAATTCTATCAATTACCTGCACAATTTTTGCTACGGCTCTTTTCGAGACCTGTACCCTATTGGCCAGCTTATCATCAAGTTCTTCTTTGTCCCATGTGGACAACTGAGTAAGGAAAGACGTTGTTACTTCATTTTCATTGCGATTTTCCGACTCATCCGCCGTCTCGGCATCGAAACGTTGCAAAAGTACACGTATATCTTCATTTAATTGATTCCAATATCGATTAACTACATTGAGAACCGCGTCATCCTGCATCTGCCGTTTCTCAAGTTGCTCGATACGATGGCGCAGCTCTGCCTCCGTACGCATACGTTGTTCAATGCGTTGTGCGAGTTTTTTATTCTGGAACTCCAGCACTTTTATGTCCATTTCTTCGAGCGTCGATACTGGCCCAATAAGGTGAGGCTCAAAATGCACCTTCTTAATCGGTGGCTGCCCTAGGTTTGTGGTAGCCGCGACACTACCGCCACCACCTGCATCGTCAGCCCCACGCTTAGACATTTTGCTAGAAAATACTATATTTATAACATTTTTGTAATGAAAATGTTAAAAAAGGGAAAATTAAGCCACAATTTGGGGCACAATGCCGGGTTCTATAGAAATGTCTTTTTTTCTTAGTTTTTTTGCAATATTTTCGATCAAGTGGAATACATAGCTTCAAAGTATTAAATCGATATAACTTTTTGAAGATCTTACCTCTATTTTTTGGAAAATAGCAGAATATTTATACAGCCAAAATAAAATGGCCTGAAAAAATTGATGAACATTTCCCATCCGTATCACTGTAGCGATGAAAAATTGCTAAGCAGAAAAGTGGAAAACGAAACACAGAGTGATGTAGAACTTTAAAAATATGCGTAGATATCCAGCTGTAACCCAAGTCTGTTCGTTTACTTTACGCGTGGCATTAATTTTAAACCATTTTTTTTTTTATAAATTACTGATTTTTATTAACATTTACCAAAAAAATAAATGTTTATACATTATTCGGGCACAGTTCGGCTATTTGTACAATGATTTTCGGACTGTGTCCAAATGCATTATCCGATTAAAAATCAGTCACGTGTAGTAAAAGGATTAAGGTTTAATTGAAAACAAAGACTTCGAATTTCCGAGCACTAATTTATTAATAAATTCGGTTTCCTTTTATGTGATTTTGAGGTGGGTTATTCGCAAAAATACTGTGGATGGCGTAACCGGAGTTTCAGTTTTTGCTGTCAAAATGCTAATTTTGGGTGCCACAGCCCCTCCGTTTCCCACCACAAAATCATTGTAGAAATAACCAAGGTGTATTACAAATAACCGAACATTTGCCTAATTTTCGGAGAAAAAATTTTATCGGCAGAGTTGGGGCATTTTTTGGCCGAAGGCAAACCAAACTGAACTTACGTGCTTGCACATAGACGAAGTTCTAAACGTATAACTTTCGATTCCTGAGTGTATTAGGCCTTGTTAGTCTAAAGACCGCTCTAATTAAAGGATTTAGGTCTTTTTTACCAAAGGATAACCAAAGGGTCTGGCATTTTAATGTTCTTCTAACCTTTAATAGTTTTTCTTGTGTACAGAGATATCGCACTCAAAAACTACCCAAATCTTTCCACCAAATGCTTTCGGCTTCAAAAGAACGGATAAAGATTCGTCACTCGCCAGCTCGTCGGCAACTTCGTTACCCTCGATGCTTCAAACTTTCCGTTCTGCGATTCTTTTTTCTTATTTGGCGTTCTGCCATTCAGGCAAAAGCAGATTTTTCAGTAACTTAGTAAAACTTATAACTTCCTGGTATTTTGCTTCAATGTACCTGCTACTCTTTCGACTCTGCCTGATCACACATCTGCCATTAAAGATCGAGTCCAGTAGCATGGAATGAGTGCTAAAGTTACTTTTGAGTTATTACTAATAAACTCCACAACAGGTAATACAGTAGCCACGCCTAACTACGTTTATAAAGAATTTTTTTAGGTGGGAGCTCAAACTCAATTCCTAAATAACGACCTCGTAAAAATCTTTGGCGCTGGCTTACCTATGGTAATGGAATAAAAGTTTGGTTTATACCTACTCGAGAAACGGTAGCTTAAATATTTACATACACACATATATGGGGTGATGTAAGCAATTATTTGTGATAATTTAATTTTTTTTCTAATAATTGATACTACAGGATTTGGAGAACTCAGTCTTGGAGCGATTCTCAGTTGAACAACGCGTAAAAGTGATCCAAACGTCGGTGCCGATTTAAAAAAAAAAAACATCATGAGGCTAATTTTTACTGCAAGTAAAAACTGTGCGCCCAAAACGAGTCACTGTTTGGTGTGGTTTTTCAGCTGGCGGAGTCAACGGACCGCACTTCTTCGAAAAAGATGCCGATAACGCTGTTACGGTGAACGGTGAAGGTTATCGTGAGATGAAAACATACTTTTTATTGCCTGAATTAGATAACATGGACTTGGACATGTTGTGGTTTCAACAGAACGGTGCCACTTGCCCCACAGCGCATGAAACAATGGCCCTATCGCGTATATCTGCTGTCTTACTGATTCACCATATATACTATCAGAATAATAAATACTTACTTTTTGCAACGTTCCCTGCCTGGATTTGTTTTTAAAAGAAAATCTTAGCTAAAATTAGTCCTCTAAAGCAGCTAATTTTATTGTAAATCGAACATGTGATACATGGCAGTGTTTGAAGAATATGCGGTTTCTAACATTCGAATATATACATATTATAACTCTCTACAAATGCAATATTTTTTTATATTTCAAAGATTTCTTTTAATTTAACTGTGTAAAAATTTAGAATGATTGGTATTTTAGAGCTTGCCTAATAGTCATACAATCCACCTCATCAATTTTAATGCTGTTCGCCTTAATGTTGATCTCCTCCTCCTGCATTATCTGCACGTGTAATAAGTAACGCAACGAAGCTTTATTCTCATTTATCTTCTGATTTAGCTTACATATGGATGCCTGTAACGCTTCCATCTCATGATAGAGTGCATCCTGCACACTGTCGCAAGTCAACTCAAGTCCGGGACGACGTGCACGGTTGCTCAATCGTGTCTGGCAGAGCGTCAATGAACGTTGCTTATCGACCAGCTCCTTCTCCAATTGATGTATGTTACGCTGCATTTCGTGTATGTGATTCATGCAATCGTTGTGCTTATCTTCCAAACATTTCTTTACATGTTTCGTTTCGGAGATACGACGCTCGAAAGCCTCATTGGTGCGATCCGTTTGATTTTGCATATCCTCGCATACTTGCTTCAATAACAAGTCGATATATGCTCGCAACTGTGCAGCCGAATTCAATTCCTTGGCATTATCCTCAATATTTTTATAGGTTGTATGTTGCCACTCGCCGAGGGAGTAGCGACTGTAAGAAAAATATTTTGAGAATACTTAAAAAAATAATCATTTGTACATAAACCGGATACAGAGAAAAAATTACAAGTCTCGAAATACTCAAATTGGACATAGCCGTGTACTGAAAATTTTACTATAACTATTTAAAAATTTACATACTTGTTTTTTCTGAATTAAATTGGAGGACTTGCTTTTTGAGAAATTTCTTCCTTGGTTTTGATGTTACTATATCTACTGAAAAGCGAACTCGAGACCTGAAGAATAATAGCTCGCAGCTCTACTCAAAATATTAAATTGTGAAAAGCCTATAGCTACAGCTTTAAGCTTATTACCGAACTTGGAGGCCTAGAGCTCTGTCGGGCCGAACTTAAATGTTTTTACCAGTGCTGAGTAGACGAAGCTTTTAGCCTATGTATGTATGTGCATCTGTCTAAAATCTATAAAGAGCTTAAATAACCTCTGGCCTCTGGAAAACACAACATAGGTTTATACACAGCACTCAATTTAGCGGAATGAATTAGTTTAAGATTTTTTTGTATTTACATTAGGGTGGATCAGCATAAAAAAAGTTACAATTTTTCCGCCGGAAATATAAAATTTATTAAATGGCATATTCATTTTCGTAAGAATCGAAAATTTAAATTTTTGTATAGAAAAATTCAAAACTTTCGATTCGTACAAGAATACTCCTCTAAATTTTAGGACTTCCGCGAAAATATTTTGGAAAAATATTAAGATTTACGTGACCTAGACCGAATTGAAATGCTTTTAAAAGTCTTATTTTGATTCCAGTGATAAAATTTTTAAACATTTTTATGCAAACCTTTTAAGCTTAAACTCTTCTATCTTCTAATGGTGATTTGTTAGAGGTATTTTCAAATAGGTCCAGCACACTTAAATCTTAATAATTTTGCGAAAGTCTTAAATTTTAATAAATTATATATTTCCGATGGAAAAACAGTGCTGATTTTTTTTTGTAGAGTGATGCGCTCTAATGTACATACATATATGACCAATTACAATGAATCAAGCATTATGAAATAAAATGTGCAGACCGTTCGTAAAAAAACTTCAAAAATTAAACGTCAGTTTTTTGTAAATTGCACTTATTATAAAAAAAAACCCCAAAAGCAGACACAAAAAAAAAATTATTAAAAATCAAAGCAATTTTTTAGCTGGTTGAAACTTGTACTTCATTAAAATTAAGACTAAAATTGCATGGGCTATAAAACTGCATACCCAGAAATATTCTGAAGATTTAGATTAAATCGTTGTTTCAGTCACTGTGTACGTACAAGCGGAAACTTTATTTGTTGTTTTCGAATCAATCTAAAACCTCCTTTATCTGAGCAATTGCGAGCGAGCGCTAAGGTCTCTAAAATTGCCGTTTAAGACCTTCTGTATTCCGTCAAAGCCCGGATGATTCTCTTATGGAGGTCACTGATAAAAACTACTTGTTGGACATAAATGTATGCTCCCTACCGGTACATCTAATATCAGAACGCATCGCTTGCCTCCATTTGTGCTACATTTTGGTAGGTCTGAAGAGAATGACAGCAATCTAAGTTGAGAATTGGTGTGGTAATGATCTCTTAATGTCAATTGCGTACCAAAAAGTAATGAATACATACGCCGCCATGTAATACATAATATGTCCGCGGAATCTGATTTTTTTTTTTTTAATGTTTGGAATTTTCCATATAAAACTCTAGTGCAAGAGTTGCCCGCTTGTTAAAGTTAGAAACGTCCAGCTAACCTTTAAAATTTCACTAGTCAAAAAGCACTTTTAATACAACAAAATCATACCATTCCAAATTGGAGAGATCTTTGCCGGTGCCCAAATGACGCTGTGTCTCACGCAGCGTTAAATTATTTTCATCGATTAGCAGAGATTTATCCTTCTGTGCCAAATCCTTATCTAACAGATATATAGTAGCGCGTAGACTACGTATCTGTTCGGTTGCCTCTTTCAGTGATCGATCCATTAGGCACTGACAACCTCTGATAACCTTCAATTCATGCCGCAAACAACGATCGACTTCGTCATCGCACAGATCCACACCAATACGTCCCTCACGCAATATTTGACAGCGCTGATTTATAGCCAGGGATTTCTCTTTTAGAAAGTCGATTGCATTGAGAACACGATTGCGATATGTATTGAGTGCCTCGTCCTCCAACAAAGCCGTTTTCTTTTGCCTATTCAGCTCATCTAATAAAAATCGAATCTCGCTTGTGCGCTCACGCATATGATGCTCCACTTCGCGCTGCCAAGTCTTGGTAGTATCTTTAGTTTCGTCGACAGTGCGTTGAGACTCCCTAAATGTTATGGGCGTTTTATATATATAAACTGTAAACTGTAAGTATATAACTTACTCCACAATGCGCTCCGCTAAACGCTCCTGATCACAGGTAATACGAAATTTCACTTTATTATTGAAATCCCAATCCTCTTCCGTATATTTTGGTGGAATTCTCGCTTGTGGTCCATAGCCTTTGCCCGTTAAATGTAGGCCACAGACTCGTCGTGTACGCATATTCGGAAGCATTTTGCAATTCAATGCTTTTAACTTCCGGATCAACTAAAATTCTGAGAAAATATGTGTATTTGTAGACGCAAGGTTATATTCAAAAAAAAAATAAGAAACTCCAATTTTTCGTTGATATAAGTGGCGAATTTTTTCCAACTGCCAACAAACTCAGTTCACTTCAAATAAAGTGGAGCAGGCACAATGCAGAAAAATTTAGATGAACACATAAAATAATATCGATTATACGGGAATTAGTGCGTGGTTGCCTAGAGGATTATTATAATTTAATACATATTTGTACTTGTATTGTAGGTAATACATAAATTGACAACGGTATTTCTATGTGGCGGCTACACGTGCAAATATACATAAATACATACATATGTATACTCCCGCATAATTTGTAAATACCGTTACAAGGACTTCCGAAATAAGAAAATATACAGGTATCCGGCATTAGGTATATATTCGATTAGTTTGTATACATATTTACATATATATTAGAGCGGTCCAGGAAAAAAATAAATAAATTCCGCGTACTCCTTCGAATCTGAAGTATTTTTGCAAAGCAGTTTCGAAAAAAAGAATTTTCGACCGAAAGTAGGAGTCGCCTTTTTTCCTCCCATCTTCGGCATTTTTAGTCGGGTTTTTAAGAATTATATTTCAATGCTCTTGTCTGCAGAATACAATATTTTTGTTCCAAAGTTCATTAATATGTAGCTTTTATCACCCCCCAAGGTACCACCCTAATGTCAGTATTTTGAATCGAAGGCATCGGATCTTAAAGTACGATTATTCGATGTGCTTGTCTCGAGGAAAAATTTTTTTTTCTTGTTCCAAAGTTCATTGACCGCTTACACACCGCATCTCGGTTTTTATTGTCCTAACTTACCACACCCTATGGTCGGTAAATAAAAGCTCACGAAAAATCATTAAACTTTTACTGTGGAAGTATTTCCAATATTCCATTATAACGATTTAAAAAAGATTGAATTAACGAATGTAGGTTTGGCCAAAAATTGTTTTTTTTTTCCAAATTACAAAAATTGCAATTTTCCGAATTGGCATCGATTCGAAAACAGTTAGCGAGTAGCGTAACGAACGAACTCAATGAGGTACAGCCAAACTTGCTATCGTCCATCTTTACCAGCTAACTTTGTTGTTACTTTCACATGCAATATTTTTCGTTAAGCGAACGGAACTCAAACATAGCAAGCAGCGCAGTGGCAAATCGATGACGGCTATATTCAAACTTGAACAAGGAAAATGTTATGAGCGCCATGTACGAGTATGCATAAGTACGGCCATGAACGATGTGGCGTATGAGTAATATTATTTTCTGCTTTACACTTCATACAAAATTTTTATTTTTTTTTTTATGTTACCGCATAGGTTTGGACCACGTCAAACCAATTTCGATAATTCTTTTTGCATCGGAAAGGTAGTGTCTCAGAGGTGGTCCATACTAATCTGGTTTAGATCCGATCGTTGAATCATGAAATATATATATATTTTTTAAGTCGGTTTTTTTTTGCTAAAAATTACTTGTTCTCTTTCGCAGACTACTTATGCCAATCAATGCGAGTTTTTATCAAAAAGACTTGATAAAAAGCAATAAAAGTAAGTTTTCAAAGGGAATGCTACACAAGCCTTAATTTATTGAGGTAGGATTATTTTTTGCCTTCATTTTCCACATTCGCACTTCGTAAACGTGAACTCCGTTGGTTTTAACTGTGCACGTTATATCTATTTATTCTGTTCCAATAGCAGTCCGGTTTACAGGATTTAGTCAGAACTTACAAGAAGTCGTTCCTATTGACATAAAACCTGTAAGTGGGAACACATTTGAGAGAGTAACTGAGCAACTGTTCCTAGTCAGAAGTTACAGGATTTAGTCCGGAGTTTTTTTCCTGTAAGTTCATGAAAAGTGTCAAACGATCAGCTGATTTACATGTGCAAACAAAATCAGAAAGCGGTGAAAGCAAAGAACCCTATATTTGTTAAAAAATGGAAGTAAACAACGAAATATTTGAATATGTATAGATTTTAATAATTATTTAGTGATATTTCAGCCAAATCAGTGTAGTACCAATGACATGTAAACAAACCGTCTGACGTTTTTACAGGAAATAGTGCTTTTTGCGTTCCTATGCACTTCTGCATCTGTTCTCCTTTTACTCTCATTTGAGAGAGTAAAATTGTAGTTTGACAGTTCCACAGGTTTTAGTCCGAAGTTCAAAGGAACAGACTAATTGTGATGCGATTTAATGTGATTGAAGCTGTAACTAGAAAAGAAAGACAACAATCCGTAATTGACTTCCCTCCTCCCCCTCGCCCAATTAAAAATCCGTTTTCAACTTTTCAACATTTTTTGCTTTGTATTTTTCTTTTCTTTAGTTGTATGTATAATTTCTTATAATATATATAGTTGTTTCTTTTCATTGTGTAACTTAAACTTATCGTATTCTATTTATTTCAG